GAGGAGAAGGAGTAGAAAAGTGGATAGTGCTTCAGTTTGTGGGGAATAAATGACAAGAGAAGGGGCAGCAGATGGTACAGAGAAAGGTGGTGATAATTTCCTTTTTATGCACGTTGTGTTTGAGGACAGGTTGATAGAAATGACCCCTGAGCAGTGGTACACCTGGGTCAGGATCTTGGAGAGAAGCAGAGGTGAGGCTTTGGGAGCCAGCTCAATGCAGAGAGGATCTGAAGATGAAGGCAGGGAGATTTCCTAAAGACACAGGAACCATGGAGCAGGGAGGGGAGCCTGGGACAGAGCTCCATGTGCTAAAAGGTTGGGAAACCAGAGACTGGTTTCCTTAGAAGAAATGGCAAAGAAGAAATATCTGAAGAAAAATGAAAGCTCCTAATATATCTCAATTCTTATATACTTGGGCAAAAATGAATTTGAGAATATAAATAATTTTTTGAATATGTAAATGTGTGAGTTGTGTCTTACAAAATATTTTGGAAAGGAAGGATATTTAGATTCTAGACTTTATGAAAATATTTTCTTATCTCTTGGTGTAGTATTGCCAGTTCTACTGTAAACACTAAAAACAGTAAATACATACACGACTAGAATAAAGCTTTATTTTATTGGTAGCTCATGAAGGAGTTGTAAAATCTAAAGACTTATTGCTCATGTAATTTATGAAGTTCCTAGTTTAGGTCAAAAATAGGCTTCTCTTTTTCTCACTGAAAAAGTTAATGAATTTATAATGGGTATTTTTTAAATATATATGCTATCCCAATATAAATATTCATAATAAACACTGTCATAGACTATAAACTACCTTCTCCATAAAGGTATTTATCCTCGTAAGATATTCATAAGAACATGAAATTACTGATTTGTCTCTAAAAAATGCCATTAATCTCTCTAAAATGGTAGCATTTCTGAAGCTTTCTCTCTCAACAAAGATAGATTTATTCACAGTAAATTTTTTCAGTTATAACTCCCATGTGCATATAAACTGATAGTCAAATAAAACCTATTTGTAATAAATCATTACACAATGTGCATTAAATGGTATCTCTGTGGATGAACTTTTTAAATATAATTCTAAATGTCATATAATATTTTTCTTGACAAAGTAATTGAAAGATAATTTACTCAAAATCTTCTGTTATCAAAAATCTTTGAGTTGTTTTCTATTCAGTGTGACTAAGAAAAGACTATTTGGGTTCTGACGTCATGTATTCTAATAGGAAACCTCAAGCTCATCGTGCTCTTAAGTGTGTGGAGCTTGCTGCCTGGCTCTGGGGCATCCTCTCTGTTCACTCATTCCTCACTCTGCTGGGCAGAGGGACCCACCATGGACCAGGAAACCAGTTCTCTGTCAGGAGCATATGTTCTGTGGACACCTCACTCGAGTGAGTTTAATGGAACAAAGTGGAAAAGATCCATCTTATCTTCAGACAGTATCCCTAGTTCTAAAATGTATAAGAAATTAGAAAATACTGGGTAGGCGCAGTGGCTCACACTTGTAATCTCAGCACTCAGAGAGGCCGAGGCAGGAGGACCGCTTGAGCTATGTGAATTCAGGAGTTTGAAAGAGCAAGAGAGAGATTTTATCTCTACTAAAAAATAGAGAAAAATAATTAGCTGAGTGCGATGGTGTGTATGTGTAGTCCTAGCTCCTTGGGAGGCTGAGCTGGGGGATCTTTGGAACCCAGCAGTTTGAAGTTGCTATAAGTTAGGTTGATGCCCTCACAATCTAACTGTGGGCCACAGAGTGAGACTGTCTCAACACCAACAATGAAAAGAAATTAGAAAATAATGAATTAATGGCAAGACTAGAGGAACAGAGGATAACGGTAATATTATTTAAAAATCTGCCTCATAAGGTGGCACCTGTGGCTCAAAGGAGTGGGGTGCTGGCCCCACATGCTGGATGTGGTGGGTTCAAACCCAGCCCTGGCCAAAAAAAAAAAAAAAAAATCTGCCTCATCTGCACCTTAATGGCCATTTCTGCAAAACTTGGTACTGGGCATCTATTTACAAATCTAGCAACTGGTCCACAGCATGGGACACTCACTCACTGATGTTCAACACAGGTATGATATATTGTTTTTTTTAACATTTGTCCTTTTTATTATTTTTTAATTAAATCATAGCTGTGTACATTAATGCAGCCATAGGGTACAATGTGCTGGTTCTATACACAACCCGAAATACTTTCATCAAACTGGTGTACACAGCCCTCATGGCATTCTCCTAGTCATCACGTCAAGACATTCACATTCCACATCCAGTTTGCAGGGGTACATGTGAAACACAGGTATGATATTATCCACCTTCGCTAATCTCAAAAATCTACAGAAGTAGGTAGGCGCAGTGGCTCACACTTGTAATCTCAGCACTTAAAAAAAAAACAAAAACAAAAACAACAACAACAAAAACCCCCCTAACAGGTATTGGTGGTTCTCATTAATTGAAGGCCCAGGCTGAGCTCTGGGAGAAGAAAATAATCAGGTTTGCAGAGCTCACCCAGCCAGCAGGTGGAGGGCCGGTGCACAGAGCTGGCCCTTTCCACCCTGGTGACAAGGCCAGGGTGTCCTCACAGCAAAGCTGCCTTCGTCACTCACTGGAGGAGAGTGAAATGCAAGGAAAACAGGAAGGAAAAACAGGGAACCTGAGAAAATGAGAAATACGGTTTTGTAATGGTTTTGTAAATGTTTATGTCAAATATTTTATAGCCGATTTGGAACAGAAAATCAGCAACAGGAAAGAGTTTCTTAATTCATGTCCCATTACATGATGACGGGCCTTGGAACCGCAGCAGCACACGGGCAAGCAGGGAAAGCAACCCTGGGCCCGGGCATCGGACAGAGGAGAGGCAGCTTCCGTGCGTATTTCTCACCTAAGTCCATGACCATGCTTCTCTGGGTCCAAAGCACAGATTTAAAACAAAAAGTAAAAGTTTGGGACACATTTAGAATAGGAAAGTAAATGCAAGTGATGGCACTGAAAGCCACTAATTCTTTCTCCCTTATTAATCAGTGATTTCTCCATCTTATGACTTTCTAAGGACAGGAATCCCCAGGAAGCTTTTTGAAAGAAGTGGCATTAGACTGGGCTCATAATCCTTAGATCACTCAGGTGTGCCTTCTATCATGCCTGACACGTGTTCACTGCTAAAT